AGTTAGTGAAAAACGTAATCGATTGAAGGTGAGACGCGAGTTTAATATATAATTTTTTTATTCTCTAATCAATTTGACAATCTAATTATATACATCTAACGAAAGAATTACAACTTGGGGGTCTCACCTTTAACATTAAAAAAAAACAACTTGGGGATCTTTGATCAGATTTTATCAACAATCAAAATAGCTCCTATTGTTCTGAAATTTTAAAATAGTATATACAGTATATTATATATCTAGATATTGCGTAAATTTTTATGCTTTTATAGTCGCCATATCAGTTTGAGAGTTAAAGTTAAAAATTAATTTTAATTAAAATTTTTTAAAATTAGACTTTTACTAAAACGAACCTATGGAGTTTTACACTTATCTCAAAAATTGACTAATTAATCGATGCGAGGTGTTCTAAGTAAAATGTCCCCAAAACCTTAATTCTACCCTAAAATTCTAACATGGAAAAACTCGTGTTAATTAAACTTAAAAATTTTAAAATTTAAAAATTTTTAAAAATTGTTAAGAAAATTAGAGCACTAATAAAAAGGTTAGGGGTACAGGTAGGTTTATTGCGTGAAAAACATTTATTTGTTAGTTATACAGCAGGAGTTATCCAAGTCAAATTTTGAGATATAGAGAGAGGCATCAAATGCACGACAGCTTAAGTTAAAAAAAGGAGCTAAATTTGGTCATATTGTGCTTAAGAGTTCTACAAACGAATAGTACTGGGGCAGGTGTTTTCTGCAGCAGGGGTACTAAAAAAATAATTGCAATTAAATTCTATCATATGTGCAATAACCAAATTATTATATTAAACCTTAAATTTTATAATAGTGATAAAAAAATTGTTTTAATTTAATAAGATAATTATTAAGTCTTTGACGTAGCACTTAAAAAAAAGGTAAATTTTTGTCAAACCTCTGTCAAGAAGTTATAAATAATTATCTCTCCAGTCCTAAAAAAAGATTGCAAAAATCCAACTTTACAAATTTGAAACTTATAAATAAAATAATAAAAAGCTTGTAATACTTACCATGATAACCTTCAGTTTGGCTACAATAAAATCAATGATTTCCTATTTATACATTATAGTTTTTTTTGCTTCACTTGTTCATGCTTATTTATATATTCCAAATTATAAATGTCCAGAAGAAGACGCCCTACAAAAGTGTCTCAAACATTATGTTAAAGGTCCTACTTATTTTCGTAAAGATTATTTTGCTTATAAAAAAGATCTTTTGTTTAATCACAATACACGAACAATTCATTTTCCGGTGGCATTTGTTCATCCATTAGATGTATTGGATGTTCAAAGTGCTATTAAATGTGGAGCAAAATTAAATTTTACCGTTATTGCAAGATCAGGTGGTCATTCTGAGGAAAATTATAGCATTGGAGATAGAGATTGTATTTTAATCGTTGATCTTAGGAACATGAATAAGATATTCGTAGATGTAACCACACAAACTGCTTTAATCGAAACAGGAAATACTCTGGATACATTATATTATGGTTTGAATGAGTATACTTTTGCTTTTCCGAGTGGTGAATGTTCTTCAACTGGTGTTGGCGGCATTATTATGGGTGGTGTAAGTACTGTATTGTTTGAAAATTTTATTGTCTTTTTTTTATAAGAATCTGGACTGGAGAGACAACTATTTATAACTTCTCGACAGAGGTTGACAAAAATTTACCTTTTTTTTAAGTGCTACGTCAAAGACTTAATTTAGTTTTTCGATAATTATCTCATTAAATTAAATCAATTTTTTTATCACTATTTTAAAACTTAAGTTTTAATATAATAATTCAAGTTTACTAAAATACACCTATGGTGTTGAACACCATAAGCCCTATTTCTCAAAAACGTACTAAGTAAATAGGATCGGGTACTCTAAGTAAAAATGTTCAGAACCCCCAAAAACCTCACGAAAACTGAGATCGGGACCTTATATTAGCTCTATATTATATTATATAAAAAAAAAATAATTCTTAATACCCGTACCCTAACCCTAAATTTTATTAAAAACAATTATATATGGTGCTAAACACCATAGGTGCATTTTATAATAATTGTAATAATTTGGTTATTGCACATATGATAGAATTTAATTGCAATTATTTTTTTTTAGTACCCCTGCTGCAGAAATCACCTGCCCCAGTACTATTCACTTGTAGAACTCTTAAGCACAATATGACCGAATTTAGCTCCTTTTTTTAACTTACGGTAGGGAAGCTATCGTGCATTTGATGCCTCTCTCTATATCTCAAAATTTGACTTGGATAACTCCTGTTGTATAACTAACAAATAAATGTTTTTCACGCAATAAACCTAACCTTTTTATTGGTGCTCTAATTTTCTTAATTTTTAAAAATCTTTAAATTTTAAAATTTTTAAGTTTAATTAACGAGTTTTTCCATGTTAGAATTTTAGAGTAAAATTAAGGTTTTGGGGAGGGTTTTTTGAAATTGTAGAACATTTTACTTAGAGCACCTCGCATCGATTAATTAAAAGTCTAATTTTAAAAAAATTTTAATTAAAATTAATTTTTAACTTTAACTCTCAAACTTTGATATGGCGAATATAAAAGCATAAAAATTTACGCAATATCTAGATATATAATATACTATTTATCTTTAAAATTTCAGGACAATAGGAGCTAATTTTGATTGTTGATAAAATCTGATCAAAGATCCAAAGTTTTTTTTGTTTTTTTTTTTAATGTTAAAGGTGAGACCCTCAAGTTGCAATTCTTTCGTTAGATATATATAATTAGATTGTCAATTGATTAGAGTATAAATTATATATTAAACTCGCGTCTCACCTTCAATCGATTACGTTTTTCACTAACTAAATCAATAATAGCAGTTTTGGCATTTCAAATGACCAATGACCAAATGAATTGGTCATTGGATCATTCGGTCATTTACGAAAATTTTAGGTAGCGTACCCACAAAAATTTTCCCATCCCTGTAATTTTTTATCAAGAATAAAACAGCGTTGTAATTAGGGTTAGGGTCAGAGTAACTCAATATTTAATAGCAAAATTCCACAAGGAGCATTTTTAATTAGGCCGCAGTAGATGGTTTCTTAATTAAAATTCAGAGTTATTTCTGTTTTTTTTGTAAAAAAGTGCCTTCGCTTCGATTGTTTACGTTACACCTGATCTTGAAATTTGATTGGTCAAAAATCACGTTTCCGGAAAATTTGGGGGTGCGCTAGGTGTTCGTACAGTACGTGAGGTGTCCAAATGTACTATGTAGATCAAAATTATATATAGTCTTATATAAAACTTATTGGTGGATTTTTTTTTTGATGCTACGTACTGTTACATTTTTTTTATTTTTTATTTTTATTTTTTTTTCTTTTGGTGTTAAGGTGACCTTTATAGCTGGGACTTTTTATTAGATAATTAACAATGCTTACAATTATAATGAGGATACAACTAGTCATATGTGCAACTTTTGGTTATCTATTTAAGTGGTCTGCTCAGGTTCTACACTAGTCATCATACCTGCAATTTAACTAGAAGATTACCTATTTAAGCTTTCTGGTTTTTACAAATGAGAATATGACTAGCTATACATGTAACTTTTGGTTGCCTATTTAAGTAGTTTGCTCTAGATTCTACACTAGCTGCTATACTTGCAACCCAACTAGGGGATTACTTATTTAAACTTTCTAGTCACAACTGGTCTGTCATTCCTTATCTAACCAAGATGTAACTCACTATATATATTAGATTTTGTGCTATTTATAGATTTCACACCCTATCTAGAACTACTTTATCCTTAAGATAAATCTAACAAAGTAATACATGTCCCACATATGTATTTACTTGCATATTTGATAATTTTTTCTTAACTAGTACCTGTTGTATTGCCACTACAGAGTTCATATCTCAAGCTATTTTTTAGAATACTGCCATAACCCAATCTATATCTCAAACTACAACCTTTCTATATTAGTAGTTAGTTACATACTTCTTACCTTTGTATTTAGGTTTGTACAACTCTAGTATCCATATTTAAACTTTTCTTTTTCTCTAAATTTTTTACTGGTCTCTTCTTTACTTCTAGCTAGCAACTCAGAAGGGTTGGTCTACCCAGATTTTAGATATCCATATAGTCTTCTTTCTTTAGTACATGCTTCCAGAGTATATATTCTTTTTCTCTAGTTTGGCAACCTGGTAATTCAATTGGTATATTCTCCTATTTAAGAACCTAGTTACTCAGTTCTCCAATCTCAGTCTTCAGTTCCAAATTTAGTCCTCCTGTAGTGCTGTTGAAGATTACACTACCTTACAACTTAGTACTTGCCAAATAGGTTTTTAGTTATTTTAGTATTTTAGATTTATTGCTCCAAAGTTTCTATTCTAGATAGTGCAACTGAGGTTATAGATTTCTTAATTCTATTAATTATCAAATAGCTGTCAACTGTATCACAAGACTATTTTTATAAAATATCATCTGTGTAATTTGAACTCTAGACCTGCTGTCTGAGGTGCAACAACTCTATTATTTCATTTTTTTATTTTTGATTTTTTTTTTGATTTTAAGGTGAGGCCTTGCTCATATCTTTATTAGATAATTTATATAAGTAATTACATAGAGACTATATAAAGACTTA